GCCACCGGCACGACGGTTGCCGTCGCTAAGAGGCCCTCGGGGTGGCCGTACGCGTCGTCGCCGGCGCCCAAGCCGGGCATCCCATGATGCAGGGCCGGATGGGCCGTCGCTCTGGTCCACATCCGCCGACGAGTAGTTCCGGCCGGGGTGTGTGTTGCTGTTGGTTAGGAGCGCAAAACGGTTCGTTGGCATTTACACGTCACGGCGTTGTTGTCTGGTGAGTTTTATTTCAAAAATGATTTCCGGCGTTGCCGCCGACGTTTCCCACGGAGTGCGACATTTGCCGTGTGCGCGGCGGCACTCAGCTCCGCCAACGGCGGCGAGATGGCTCAAAAACATGTTCGAGAAGTGCCAAGAGACTGACAACTACTCCGCCGTTGTGCCATCCGATGAAAACAAGGGGGAAAAAGAAAACATATCTTTTCTACGGCTCGCCGACTCACGAGACGGCCTTCGCGCTGCGTACGCAACGTGTGCCCCTCTGTACGCTCCGCGCTCTCAACGCGGCGCGCAGCGCCGTCTGAGCGGCTTGACGGCGAAAAAAAGACTTGGTGTTCACGGCTCGAGGTGTGAAGAGGCGCCGTTCACACTCTTTGCTATGAATAGGGCTCGGCTCGCCGACTCGTGAGACGGCCTTCGCGGTGCGTGTGCAGCACGTGCTCCTACGCACGCGCCGCGCTCTCCACGTGGCGCGCAGCGCCGCTAGAGCGGCTTGACGGCGAAAAAAAGACTTAGCGGCTTTGAGGTGTGAAAAGACGGTTCTCACACTTTTCGACCCGGATAGGGCTCGAGGCGCCGTTTTATCAGACGCCGTGCGAGGGGCGTGTCGCGCGTGTGCTGCGCTACGCGCTCGGCGCCGTTTGCACGGCGCGGAGCGCCCTTGGGGCGGTGAGAAGTTGCCGGACGGCGTTCACGGCGTCGAGGTGTGAAGAGACGCCGTTCACACTTTCTGCTATGAATAGGGCTCGGCTCGCCGACTCACGAGGCGGCCTTGGCGGTGCGTGTGCAGCACGCGCTCCTCTGTACGCGCCGCGCTCTCAACGCGGCGCGCAGCGCCGCTAGAGCGGCTTGACGGCGAAAAAAAGACTTGGCGGTTTCGAGGTGTGAAAAGACGGTTCTCACACTTTTCGACTCGGGTAGGGCTCGAGGCGCCGTTTTATCAGACGCCGTGCGAGGGGCGTGTCGCGCGTGTGCTGCGCTACGCGCTCGGCGCCGTTTGCACGGCGCGGAGCGCCCTTGGGGCGGTGAGAAGTTGCTGGACGGCGTTCACGGCGTCGAGGTGTGAAGAGACGGTTCTCACACTTTTCGACTCGGATAGGGCTCGAGGCGCCGAATCATCAGACGCCGTGCAAGATGCGTGTCGCGCGTGTGCTGCGGTACTCGCTCGGCACTGTTAGCGAGGCGCGGACCGCCATTGGGGCGGTGAGAAGGCGCTTGACGGCCTTCACGGTGTTGAGGTGTGAAGAGGCGCCGTTCACACCTTCTGCTATGAATAGGGCTCGGCTCGCCGACTCACGACACGGCCTTCACGGTGCGTACGCAGCGGCTGCTGCTCTGTACGCAGCGCTCTTTCCACGCGGCGCGCAGCGCCGCTAGAGAGGCTCGACGGCGAAAAAAAGACTTAGCGGCTTTTCGACTCGGATAGGGCTAGAAGCGCTGTTTTATCAGACGCCGTGCAAGGGACGTGTCGCGTGTGCGCTGCGCTGCACGCTCGGCGCCGTTGGCACGGCGCGAAGCGCCCTTGGGGCGGAGATAGGTAGAAAGCTATAGCCTAAAGAGTCGTGTTTTCTTTCCATTTCTGGGGGGCTCCCAGGCCCCATTGTTTCCCTACCGATTTCCCAAAACTTTTTTTCTGCAGCGGGCGCCGCATACGCATACGCACCTCTCGCTCCTCTCGACCTCGATCCATGCCTCTCCCGATCATACACACCGCATAGAGCCGTACACACCTCTACCTCTCTCGGGCCGCCGTCAGCCTCAACTCCGCCGCCTCCGCCGCCTCCGCCGCCTCCGCCACCTCGGCCTAGCGCCAGCAGCGCCGCAGCAAGCGCCTGATCTCGTGCAATCTCGATAATTAATTTTTAATCGCCTCTCTCGATCTCAATCCGTGCCTCTCTCGATCAAATATCTCATCACACACCCCTCTCGCTCTCCGCTCTCACACACCTCTCGCTCATCTCGCGCGATCTCGATCATATCGCCCCTCTCGCTCTCCGCTCTCACACACCTCTCGCGTATCTCGTGCGATCTCGATAATTAATATTTAATCGCCTGATAGAGGAGATGGAGAGAGAGGGAGAGGGAGATACGGGGAGATACGGGAGATACGGGGAGATATGGGACGCGCAGCTCGTGCTCAGGTCCTCGCTGTCGCGCTCCTCGTGCTCGATCTCGGCTAATCTCGGCCAATCTCGGCTCATCTCGGCCAATCTCGGCTAATCTGATCGCGTCTCGCTGGTCGGTCAAACAATCACTGTGTAAAACACTGTCGCACCGAGTGTACCCTCCCTACACCACCAGGAGCCGCAAGATGACCGGCGTCGCGCCGTCGAGGAAGCGCTGCCACGCCTCGGCCTGCCCCGCCTCGGCGGGCGCGCTCTCGGCCGAGCTCTGCAACGAGAGGACCGTCGCGATGGCCGACCAGCGGCTCGGAGGCGCCGGCGGCTCGGGCGGCTCTGCGGTCGGCGGCGGGCTGCGTGCTGCCCGCCGCCTGCTGTCC